TTCTTCCGGGCGGGGGTCCTGGCCCAGCTGGAAGAGGAGCGGGACCTGAAGGTCACGGACATCATCGTGTCCTTCCAGGCGGCTGCCCGGGGATACCTGGCCCGCAGGTGGGGGGCCAGGCTGTCTTCCTGGGTCTTGTTGGCCAAGGCTGGGACTGGGAGGGGTTGACCAGATGGCCCCAGGGGCCAGGGCCTCAAAGTGGTTGATGAGTTGAGAATGGGATGGAGACACTGGGTGCCCAGGTGCTGCAGTGCTGCTGTCCCCACGTGCCCCATGGGCCAGGCCCCGTGCTGAGTGACAATGACACAGAGCTAGACTCTGCCGTGGGGTGACAGACCATCCCAGGTCACTTGCGACTGGGTGCAGGACTTTCAGTGCTAACACAGAGAAGGCCCAGGGCAGCCCAGGTCAAGTTGTCCTTCCCACCTGTTCCCTCGAGGGACTCCTGTCTGAGGGAGCGACATACCCAGGTACAGAGAGTCACGCTCCCCCTGGGGTGCCACGTGCCTTGATAGGGATGGGAGGGGTGCGGTGCAGTGTGGACTCCCTGCTGCAGGCCTGGACTTCCCCCACCTCACCCTGGACGACCAGGAGGAGGAAGGGGCGTGGGAACGGTGTTCCCGGCAGGAGAGGCCGCTTGTGCAAAGGCCCGGTGCTGCAAGAGCCTGGCACAATTCAGGCACGCAGGACGTTTGTGGGAAAGCCTCCTTCCTCCCTGGCAGTGGCTCAGAGAACAGAGTGTGGCAGGAAGGACACTCCAGACACCAGGCTGAGGAGCGGGGGCCTTGTCTGGGGTGCTGGGGAGCCTTGGAGGGCTGTGAGCAGAGGAGAGGAGGGTCAGCTCTGAGTGGAGAAAGACCCTCTGGAGTCATGTAGGGCTGGACTGAGAGGAGAGGCTAGAGGCTGGGAGGCTGGGGAGGAGGCTGGCCTGAGGGTCCGGATAGGGGAGACGGTGGGGCCTGAACTGGGGTGGGCAGTGTGGGACAGGGCAGAGAGGGAGGCAGAAGGGCTAACAGGCTGAATACAAGATCGACCGTAGTGGAATAGCGCCTCATCCAGTAGGTGCTTAATAATGACTCCATAATCCTGAGTCCCCGCTCACTCATCTCCCCACGCAGGGCTTTCCAGAAGCGGCAGCAGCAGCAGAGTGCCCTGAGGGTGATGCAGCGAAACTGTGCGGCCTACCTCAAGCTCAGACACTGGCAGTGGTGGCGGCTCTTTATCAAGGTGAGGGCAGCCAGGGGGAGGCGGCCCCAAGCGGTGAGAGGGAGGGTCAGGCCTTGGGGCTCGATCTGCTTCAACAAGGGACTTCTGTTTGGGCCTCAGTCTTCTGCTTCTGTAAAATGGGACCAATCAGCCCAACCTTCGTGAGCTAGGATTCTTGAGTTAGCAAAGGACAAGAAAAATCTGACTTGAACCAACATGGATAAAAGATGCAAGACACCTCAGGGTGCAGCTTGGTCCCCAAGGCCACCTTCAGGTTCTGTGATTCGCTGGAGGGACTCACAGAACTTAAAAATCTGTTGTAGCCGGGCTCGGTGGCTCAGCCTGTAATCCCGCGCTTTGGGAGGCCAAGTGAGTGGATTACCTGAGCCCGCGGGTTCGAGACCCGCCTCGGCAACTTGGCGAGACTTCATCTCTACAATAAACCAAAAAATTAGCCGGGCGTGGTAGCATGCGCCTCTAGTTCCAGCTACTTGGAAGGCTAAGGTGGAAGGATCGCCGGAGCCCAGCAGGTCGAGGC